TATCTTGTACTCTTTTTTTGGAGTTGAAATAAAGTCGTTGCTCTGCTCCCGATGATGTAAGCACATTTGCCCAACCTCGTTAAATCTCTGTGTTTTTCTTTTGGATTTCTGTTAATTTTTTTTTTCTTCGTCCTAAATTCTCAACAAATGATATCAGAGTAAGGTTCTAGAGCAGGGAAAAGGAAGATTTAGCAGAGGAGTTTGACGGTTAGGGTTCAACGACGAAAGTTTCAGAGTTTTTTTTTTTTTTTTGGCTTTGGTGAATTTGGCCGAGGCAAGGAGTTCGACAGTTTGAAACGCAACTAAGAGGCGAATTGTGGCATCTCGGATTCAGCGTTCGCGAAGGGGCTTCGGTGAGAGCAGTTTGGCGGCGACGCAGAGGAAGTTTAGCTAGCCTTCCCGACACGAAAAGACTAATTGCGGTTCTGCTACAGAGCTTCCTTGCGCGACTGCGCGAGAAGGCAAATTTCACATAAGAGGTTGCGAACAAATTCAGAGGTTGCGAGGAGTTTTGCTTCGAGGAGTCGAGGAATTCCACAGAGGTTCTTCTATTCGCGACACAGGAGTTCGTGATGTAGGAGGTCGCGAGATCAGGCGCAGGCAGAAGCGGTTCGGGCAGCAATCTGTTTGACGCACGAGGCAGTCGGGCAGCGGACTTTCTTGTCGTGGAGAAGGAAATTTTTGTTGTTGCATGCGGACAAAAGCATAAAAGGAAGTTTCTGTGACGCGAAAAAGGAAATATCAAGAAATGAGATTTTCTTAAAATTATTTTTCTACAAAACATAATTAAGGGAAACTTAATTAAGGAAACTTAATAAGTGAACATTTCAATACTTTTTTTCTTAGATTCTAAGCAAGGAATTGCAAATAAATTTTCAGAAAAGTTTGCTGCAAGATTAATTTCAAATGACAATTTCTTGTGCAAAATTTGAGGTGGTAAATTTTGATAGAACTAGTAACTTCGAATTGTGGCAAATAAGGGTAAAAAATATGTTGACGCAACAGAGAATCTTAAAATTTTTGCGGGCAACGAAACCATTGGTCATGTATGATAAAGATTGGGAAGAATTGCAACACCGAGAAACATCAACCATACGCTTGCGTTTGGCAGATGAGGTTATGTGTCACGGTTGAATCTAAAATCTCCAGGGGAGGTATGGAAGAAATTGGAAACTTAGTTTATGTCTAAACCTCTGATGAATAAATTGTATCTGAAGCAAAAACTGTATAAGTTGAAGATGCAAGAAGGTTCTAGCTCAACACGTGAATGGCTTCAATCGAATAATTACGGATTTATCACGGCTTGATGTGATTATTAATGATGAAGATCGAGCAATGATTTTGTTATTTTCATTGTCTTCTTCTTATGAACATCTGATGACTACTCTGACATATAAAAAAAGAAACTACTAAAGTTGATGAGATTACTGCAGCATTTTTGGCTCACAATCAGCGAAAGCATAATGCAGGGGAAAGCTCTCATGACGACAGTTTATATGTTAAGGGTGATCAGAATCGTGGAATGAAGAAAGAGAATGGGGTTTTGGAAAGCAAAATTCCAGATAAAAGCCCAAAGACAAAAATATAATTCATTGTTACAAGTACAAAGAGTCAGGTCATATGAAGAGGGATTGTCCAAAGCTCAAGAAGCAATCTGGGGAGAAATGTGATGCATCATCGAAGTCTGTAAATGTGGTGCAGAGTGGCAATTCAAATTGCAATGATGATGATATGATTTCAGTTTCATTAACTCGGTTCAAGGGATCCATGAATTCTTGATTCAGGATGTTCTTATCACATAACACCTAACAGAGAGTGGTTTACTTCATACAATTTAGCTAATTCTAGCTCAATTTATTTATGTGATGATAGACGCTGCAATATTATTGGTATTGGTCAAGTTAGAATTTAGATGTATGATGACACCGTTAGAACAATATGTGATGTCAGACATATTCTAGATCTAAAAAAGAATTTGATTTGTGTGGACACTTTACATAGAAATTATTTTATTCCTAAGGCAAATGAGGATAGTGAAACCAGCAGAATTGTTAAGGGTGCACTGACTGTGATGAAACAAAAGTTAACTGAAGGTAATTTCTACAAACTGTCAGGGAGTACAGTTGTAGGTGTAGTTCATTCTGTGGAGTCAGATGGTGATAATACAAAGTTATGACATATGCAAATGGGTCATCTTAATGAATGTGGGATGGCGGAATTGCATAGAACAAACCTGTTACATGATTTTAAAAACTGTAAGTTCGATCTTTGTAAGTTCTGTGTTCTTAAAAAACAGAATAGAGTCAGTTTTAATATTGTAAAGCACAAAACTGAAGGGATTCTTGATAATGTGCATTCTGATGTATGGGGCCCTACTAAGAAATCGTCATTGGAAGAATCTCAGTATTTCGTCACATTTATTGATGATTTCTCGAGGAAAGTTCGGGTGTATTTTTTGAAGCAGAAATTTGAAGTCTTCTCCAAATTCAAGTTGTGGAAAACTGAGGTGGAGAGCTAAATTGGTAGAAATATTGAGTATTTGAGACCTGATAATGACACAGAGTACAAAGGTTCAATGTTGCAGAAGTTTTTTGAGGATCATGGAATTCAGATGCATTTTTTAGTGCGCAAGACACCACAACAAAATGGTGTGGCAGAAAGGACGAACATGTATTTAACTTAAAGAGCAAGATGCTTGAGACTGAATGCAAACATTTCTAAGAGTTTCTAGGCAGATATTGTGAATATGGCATGTTATCTCATCAATAGATCACATCAGGCATCGTTAGGTGGCAAGGTTGCGGAAGATGTATGAACATGTAATTCAGTTAATTTCAATCATTTACAAATTTGTTTTGTTCTGCTTATGTGCATGTACCTAGAGATAAAAAATCAAAACTTGATACAAAATCCAAGAAGTTCATCTTTTTGGGCTACAAGAAAGGTGTGAAAGGATGCAAGTTTTGGGATAGGATTACAAAGAAGAAGATGATCAATAGAGATGCAGTTTTTTATGAACGGTCTATGTTGCAGTAGAATCAAGACAATGTGCCAGAGAACTGTTCCAGTTCATATGCAGTACAGATGAATTTAGAACAACATCCAAAATAGTTGAGAGAGTTAGAGGTGCAAATCCAACACATGTTGATTAAATTCTAGTTGATTTGCACAATTACAATCTAGCCAGAGACAAATAGAGACACACCAATGTAGGACTCTTAGGAGATTGAATTATGAAAACTTGGTCTCTTGTGCGCTTCTCATCAGCAACAATGATCATTCGGTTGTTGGTACATTGATTCAGACTATGCAGGTGATTTGGATGACAAAAGGTCTACAAGTAGTATGTCTTTACTCTTGATGGAGGGCCTATATGTTGGAAATAAAAAATTCAGTCTATTGTGGCATTATTTACAACTGAAGCTGAGTATATGGCAATAGCTGAAGCTGCGAAAGAAGCTTTATGGCTTGTTGGGCTAGTATAGGAACTAGGCGTTGAGCAGGGTGGAGTTCAGTTGCTTTTTGACATTCAGAGTGCTATTTATCTGGCTAAGAACTAGGTGCACCGTGCAAAAACAAAGCACATTGAAGTCAAGTGTCACGAGATCAGAGAATTGATTACTTCTTGTGAGATACTGTTGCAGAAGATTCATGCTGATGAAAATGCAGCTGATATGTTGACCAAACCAGTTACTATCAACAAGTTCTTACATTTCTTGAACTTGTTGAATGTTTGCAGCTGCCAGAGAAGCATGGTGGCCCAACCCACTTCATTGTGTAAGAAACTCCATGAAGTATTTCTCCTTAGGGGCTGGATATTCGCCAAGGTGGAGATTTGTTAGATATGACTCATATACCATATAAGAGACAGATGTTGGAGCAGAGCGAAAGAATCTGTCCAATCGGGGGAGTTTCGTTATGTGGGTTGGGGGTGCGGGGGCAACACCCTGTGATACGGTACAAGGGTAATTTTATAATTATATATTGTACTCTAGGGTTTTATCTAGAGTTATATATATGTGTTTTTGTAACTCTAGGCTATTCAATGTTGTATTATGTATCTTGTACTCTTTTTTTTTAATTGAAAGAAAGTCGCCGCTCTGCTTCGGACGACGTAGACATCTTTGTCAAACCTCGTTAAATCTCTGTGTGTTCTTCTTCTGGATTTGTGTCGATTTCTTATTTTTCTTCGCCCTAAGATCTCAACAGTTCTCAACTAAAAATTGTGAAATTTACATATATATATCACACAATTCCTGTATATTTATATATCTAACATTAAGATTTTCATATTTATATTTATAAAATTATCCATTCTTCCACAATTATTCTTTGTAGAATGAACTGTAAGTTAATATTATTCATCACTCGACTGATTATTATCTCAATCATATTTGATGTGTATAGAAAAACGAAAGATTTACATAGCACTCAATTCTTCTGTATTTACATATCTAATCGAAAATTCTTGGTGGCCGAGCAATTATTTAATGTTTTAGCGTTTAACTAAGATCGAATACACACTGATTTAAAAAAAAAAAATTGCAGAATGAGGCACAATTCTTTTTACGTCGAAGAACCATGTAAATGAAGAAAACCAAGAGTCTAGCTTAATCAAAGTAATCAATTTTGTAATTGTAAGTACATAGGTTCCCTCTTCTCCTAAATTAAAAAAAAAAAATAGAATTATAAAGCGAGCAATCAAAGATGTATAATGGACTAATAAACAACTAGATAAGACATTTTATTATCCATTATTATTCATTACTCTGTTTATTTCTCTCTCTTCTTACTTAGGCTCTAACACATGGGATGTGATATTTGTATATTTATCTATGATAATTTGATGATTATTTAAGAGAATATGATAGGGTGGTTTACTGTCACTCCCAAGTCCTAACATATATAATACTACATATAAAATACCAATCCAAAAAAGAGAAAAATGGCCAGATTTCTTTCCTTCTATGCTGTTCCAATCTTCATAATAGGGTGGTTTACTGTCACTCCCAAGTCCTAAAATATATAATACTACATATGAAATACCAATCCAAAAAAGAGAAAAATGGTCAGATTTCTTTCCTTCTATGCTGTTCCAATCTTCATGCTATCAGCACAACGCCTAAAAAGGTAACGAGTCCTAAAAGCAATGATATCTCCTTCCAATCGCCTCTCCCCATGGCCGCGCTCGGCAGAAACTCCACTCCCGGCCGTCTACATACACCGCCGCCACCACCTTCGCCGGCCACGCACACCTCTTCCGGCCTTGAAGACTCCGCCGGCGCCACCTGGCTCGGCGATCCGCCCAAATCCTGCCCGGATTTAAGCATCCCAGCATCATAAATGGGCCTAAGATCCGGCCCGAAAAGCCCAAAGGAGCGCTCAGTCGTTGGGCCGGGCTTCAAGTCCTCATCATACATGGCGAATAAATACGTCGTCACAGGATCAGCCATAGATCTCAAATGAGCTATCAGATTCCCATTATATGCTCTGGCGTTCTCTATGCTGGCTCCGACCTCGTTGTCGTCACCTTTATATGGCCACCCGGTCTCCGCCACCACCACCTCTTGGCCGGCGAACCCGGCGGCTCGCAGCGCCGCCCTAACTGCATCAACCTGAAAGAAAACTAATACGATATAGTTTAGATTTTAAATTTCAAAACTCCTGGATGTATATTGCTATATGTATAAAGAAACTGAATGAATAAATAAAAAATATTAAATTTTTTTTTATATTTAGTATTTTGCTTCACTATATAGCATAGATGTTGGGTGAAATATGGCAAAATTGATGAGGGCCCGTGAGTAGCTTGACATTCACTAATAAGATGTATTATATATTAAAACTATAGATTTAGAATAGAAGAAAGATTGATTATGACTCGAACTATATGAGAAAATAAGTTTAAGCAAATTATTTAACAAATAATTATATTCTTCAGAGTTAAAAGAATTGGCATTCAAGATATTTACTTTTAATAAATATAAAAATATAATATGTTAAATTCTTATGCTCTCTCTCTCTGTCTCTATATATATATATATATACACCTAAGAATGTGTTCACACGAAACTCAAAGTAGATGGGCAACCCAGGAAGAAAGTATAGCAGAATCAAACGTAGCAATAGACAATCGTTTCTAGATGAGCAGCGACAAATAATATATCTTACTAAACTGTCGACAGAAGATGTCAAAAGGAAGCCTCTCAAGACGATCATCAACCTTCAGAACGATTAATGGATTCACTTGTTCGAACCATCAATCGATCGATTTATGATGTGTCAGAAGATCATTGATCCTTATCAATCGAATATGTCTCGGGCTTTATTATATGCAAATAAGATAGTAAATTACAAAATGCCCCTCTTAAAAATTAATGAATATATACTTTTGTAATATTCGAACTTAGACCTATAAATAGTGTTCTATATTATAGATAAAAGACAACTTTTGCCTGTCCACTAGTGCTCCTTTTCTCTCTCTCTCTCTCTCTCTATTAATTGTCTCCTAATAGAATATTTCAGGTATATTTCTGAAATAATTTTTAATTCAACATCCTTCAAACTGGATTTAAAGAATCTATAAAATAATTCATACGTTTATAAAGCAAAATATATATTCTATTTTCAATTAATTATATTTTTCTAGTTTTAAATGGGCTCTCACCTGAGCATCAAACATGTTGGAGTAAGAAATCCCAGATCCCGTATCAGGCCGGGCCGGGCCTGGCTGGAAAAGACAGTACGCGAGGGTTTCGGGCCGTGGGTCGCTCTTGTACGCGAAGTAAGGGTAAGGGTTGATCATGAACGGAGAGTTGTTATCACTTAGAAACTGGAGGATGGGTTGAAGTATTCCGGCGAGGTCAGAGTGGAAGTTTCCGGCGGACGGCGGATCGGACTGCGACAGAACGGCCATCGAATGTACCGTAGATATCTTAACCGCGGCGGCGGAGGGGGTAGCAGCGATGGCTGCGCGGAGGTTCTGCATCGCCGGTAATAGGAGAGAGGAAAGAGAAGGATCGCCGGAGTTGAGGACTTCGTTGCCGACGGAAACGGCGGATATGTTGGTGGAGGGAATAAAAGGGAGAAGATTGGTGGATAGCCAGGAGGCAGATGCCGAAGGATCGCCGGCGAGGGAGGGAATGTCGGAGTTAGGGACGCCAAGGAGGAGGGAGATACCAGTGCCGGAGAAGGAGGAGATGACGGCGGGATCAGCGTTGTACAGTCGAAGATTGGAGAAAACTGTTGATTGGAGTAGGAGTGCTGTGGAAGCGGGGGGCGGGAGGTTGTCGGCGAGCTCGCCGTAGTTGACGCCGAGATATGGCTCCGATCCTGGAGAGAACTTTGGTGATTAGATCAAATTTAAATACTTTACAAGTCTATAGATCGATTCGATTGTGAATAAAAATGTGTTTTTTTTGTTTACTTGCTGGGGGGAGAGCAGGGAGAAGAGTGAAGAAGAGGAGAAAAGGAGTCGTCTTTGGCATATTGATCAGAGAGCTAAATGAAATAATGGAAGAAAGGGCGGAAGGAAGGAATTATAGAGGATGTGGGGGAATCTGCAGGGTTGATATAGATCGGAAG